CTGGATTCAGCAATAGCCAGAATACAAAGACAGGCATGAGTCTCTCTACAAAGCTGAAGGCTAAATACAGATCTTTGTGACAATTTTAGGAAGTGAAGATGTGATAGGAAAAAGGATAAACATGCTCAAAAATTTAGTGATGCAGGCAGAAAAACAAGAAAATATAAACAGTGTTGCAAGTGTAAAAAAGGACTTTGAAGAAGTGTGTAGAATAAATGATTCCAAAACAAGAGAAGCAATTAAGAAGGATGCATCAAGGTTCTAAGTGCCCTTTAAAATACGACTTGAGACATTGATAAGATCTGTTTGGAAAGATCCATAAATTCTAGAAGAGCATTTTCTCTCCTCAGCCCAGATGTTGGCAGTAAGCACAAAGTATAAAGGGTTTGATCTGGTTAAGCAATGTGTGAGATACACAGTTATGTTTTGAAGGTTGTTTCCATAGCGCTAGATTAAAATAATGGCACAGACTGTTTTCAAAATAAATACTGTAACAATTAAACTAGGCATGCAGTCATTCTTCCTGATCTAATTAGGATGCTCATAAGAAATTATTCTAGTGCATGCCTTTTTCTAACCTACATTTTCTGTAAAACACGTGAATCTTTCACCTCAAAAGATGAACAGAATCCCAAGAATCCCCCTCAAAAAGTAAGTCCTGCACCCAGTGACCCAGTACCATACTGCCAGTTACTTACTACAAAGAAAAAGAAGGCTTCTCATTTCCTCAGAAGCTATCAGCACAAACCCAGAAGAATGAATGTTAATTACTTATCTTAAAAATATTAATTATTTTTAGTAAAAGTAATTTTCAAGAAGTCTCAGGAATTACAGCCCTGGGAAATTAAGTCCTCCTTTCATAGACCAGTATACACACAGACAGATATATGACACAAAAAGCATGGACTGCTTTAGCTCTGCTGTATTGCTGAAAGTATCTAATCAGTTTTGTAATTACTTATAGAACTTCTTTCATGGCTGTGTGTAACAATGAGTTCTGCAGTTTGCTTATATGCTGCATAGCCCAGTACTTTCTATTGCTGAAGTTTTACATAAGCTTGTGCTCTTTGATTAAAGGACAGCAAAGAAAGCAGGAAAGAAGGAACTGAGAGAAAACAAGGATGGAGATTCTCAGGAAATACTCTGGAAAATTTAATTTTACGAATTTGGCTAAATGTAATTAATTGATGCAATAACCATCACGCCCTCTTTGTTCAGTGAGAATAATTAATAACAATAATAATAAAAAACCCCTCACAATCCCAAATTCAGGCATTACTAGAACACTGGCAGTCAATTACAGTCATTGCTTGAAAATACAAGTATCTATCCTGGTTCTAATGAGATAGGGAATTGAAAAGTAAGGAATAGTTTATCAAAAACTAAGGCAATGAGAAATGCTTGACATTTACTATGCTTGCAAAAATTGGGAGGAGAGGCAGACTGCTTTGTGATAAACGGAGTTAGGACTTGTAAATAGGGTGAGGGGTGCAAGGCTACCAGTGATAAGTGATAAATTTAAAACTTTAAACTAGTAAGAACTAACTTTAAGGTTTGGAATGTGCTTAAATGGCTAAGACGCATGCTTTAGAGAAAAAGTTGAAAAGTTCAAGTGCGATGAAGAGTTTGGAAGCCTTCATCAGAGACCCCCGACGACCCCTGAATTGGGGAGGCGCAAGTGCAAGAGGACTTTTGGTTCATTTGAATACGAAGCGAGAGTAGGCGGGGCTAGTATATGAATATGTATTAAGCATATTGTGTAATCCTAAACTTTTAAAGAATAAATAGAGCAGTAGTTTGAAGTTTCAGTGTGCATGCTTTGAGAGGAGTTATCCCCGTGCACCTCAGCGCTGAATAAATGCATACCTACTTTATAACTCTCATTTCCTACGAGTTATAAAGTCTTTTCCGCATATCACTAAGTGGTGGAATTTTAAAATCAGGCATGAGTAGAAGGACCAGCCATAAACATATCTAGTCAAACCAACCCTCCAATTTTTTCAACAGAGAAGTATTATGGAATTTGCTGCGTTCCCAAAGATAAGCAAATCCAGGTTCTGGTGGACAGCATTGGATAGAGCTTTCCAAAACCGGGGATCTCTCACAGATAATTAATGTCTTGCCAGCTGCTTCTTCATACTTAATTTGCAGAGTTCAAATGTGTGAATCTCTGTGGAGTTTGACTTGGCAGTACATCACAGGGAGAAAAGTGATTTTTCAAGCAACTAGGCTCAGTTCTACACAACTGTGCCCAAATATAATGAAGTTCTTGTAAACCAAACAGTTTGGTGATAAAAAGGTTTATCTCTGTAGGATAATTTATTTTAATCTGTTATTTTATGCAAACCCAGCAGTGCTGCTATCTTTTTACTATCTTTCATAAGACTAGACATGCTCCACAGAAAGTGTAAAATGTGTGGATCTAAAATCACATTTTAAACCAAGAAGGTTTTAGCAACAGATGCATTCTGGATGCAAATCTGACTTATGGTTTCTCAAAACCTGGGCAACAGCCAGCCTAAGACACATCATGCAGCCTGTCAGTCAGCAGCAGCACAGCCTCTTAGAGATCCACACGTTCATCCCTATAAGAGTCGTGCTTTGTGTACCCAAGCACCCACCAGCAGTGCATGGAGCAACAAAACCAGTACCCCTCACTGACTGCTCCTTCTCTCACCAGCTCTCTTGAAGAATAAGCAAGGGGCATGCAACACAAAATCAAATTTTGTCAGACTGCTGGGGGCTGGTGGGAGGCTAGGGTGGCCTTTTTGTGAAAATTCTCCCTTAATGTCATTCAAATATGAGTCTGTGTAAAGGCACAGTGGGAAAGGCCATCAGTACATACTAGCAGGTCACATTATATTTACCTCAAACCTATATTTTTTTCTGTCTACTACATAATTTCATACTTTTTCAATGTGCCTGAGAGAATATATACAGAATATGGCAAAGACTTGGTTGATATGTTTGTCAAAGAGTGGGAGAGTCCCCTTCGGGGATGCTCACCAGCCAGGGCCAGGGCCAATCCCACCATCCCAGACAGAATGGGGGACCCTGGGAGCAGCTGGGCTGGCACATCACCTCACTCTTCACAGCCAGAACCAGCAGGACCCATGGCTGGGCACAGGCCATTGAACTACCCGTCCTTAGACTATAGGCTGGTAGGGCACAAGCAATTCTGTAACTCCTGTTTGCTTCATGCTTCCCCTCAGCTAAGTATGATTATCATTGCCATCCTTTATTCCTGAAGAGCTCTTTTCCTCTGCCGTGCTTTAGCACACACTTTTCCAAATTAACAGTGGAGTAATATTTTGGTTCTTCAATGATGCTATCTTTCTAGTTTTTACTTTAAGTTCCAAGTTCTTAAGTGGCAGGACTGTAGGAAATTCTTATGTCTATTCAATCATTAGAAATTTTATACTTCATATTTTCAAAGTAAGCTTTGGGATCATAATCCCTAAAGGCCCAATTAAGAAAAGTTATATACATTGTTTAAAATAAATAATTCCTCTACATTTTTTTTCCTGGAGGAGAAACTATAGTCCGACATTGCACAAAGTCATACCCACTGACTTTCTCATCTAATTGGGTCTGCAAGAAATACAGCATTTTCAAGGTGAAGAGCCTCCCAAGCCAAGAGCTGTTGCCATTTGCTACACAGAGCCAGCGGTGCCTCCATTGCCAGCCTTCAGCAGGGCAGGACAGGCTCCCTGTGTGACTTTCTGGCAAGCTCAGCTCCTTGCCAGAGTGCACATATACTTCAGTGCTGCACAGGAACCTCCAAAGCTGGACTGGACACATACAGTGTCCTCAATGCCCTGACACTGCAGCTGAGCAGCTGGGCTGCTGAGCTCAAACACAGAGCTGGGCAAATGCACGGAGCTGCTCCCTGCATGAGCCTGTGATCATGAGCTCACTGGGGGTGAGGGTACGACATGCACGCAGTCATTATGTTCCTGACTGTCATCTCCCAACCTGCAAACCTCCTCCTCTCACTCTAGTTAAGCACAACACCATGTCCTCTCATGCAGAGTAATTAATTAATCTCTGAGTAACACAAAGTTCAGGGTGGAAATTGCGCGATCCACGTTAAGGTACTCAGCTGCAGATCAGTTCCATGACATCTTCCCTGCGTGATGATGTGAGTGATGACATCGAGGCCTGGAGATACCGTCTTCAAGCAGAGGCACTGGCATACTGGCCATCTCTCGGAGCAGAGTGTGCATACATCCCCCTAATTCCCTTGAGTGCCTGAAGAAGCAAATACGGTTTTGGACCTGTGTGGATACTCCCGTCGTTAACAGTGTCAGTTATTTTTTGTGAATGTCACTCTATTGCCTTGATGTTAGTGCGTAGCTCTCACAGTGGAGTCGACGACGCTCACTACAATTTTTCTCCTTCGGGGAGGATTTTTAATCGGACGCTCACAAGTTACTCAGAGGACGTTACTCTGCGGGCGGGTCGCAGGTACCGCCACACGGCGGAGGGCACCTGGGGCCAGCACAACGCCTCGCGGTGTCGGTGTCAGCGGCGGAGTCGGTGTCGGGGACTGGCGTGCGAGCAGCCACGCCGTGTTTACGGCTCAATGAGGGGCGCAGCCGAGGAGCTGCGTCAGCGCGGGCGGGGGCGGGCCGGGGGAGGCGGGCGCGCCCGGCGGGGCGGCCGCCGCGGGCGGGGGGCGGTGACGCGCGGGGCGGGCCGGGGCGGCTGCGGGGCGCGGCCGGGCGCGCTGCCCCGCGGCACCAGGGGAGGCTGCCCGCGTCCTCCCCGGCATGGGGGTCGGGCTCGGGCCGGCACCCCGCGGGCGGCGCTGACCGGAGCGGCACCCGCCGCTGCCGCCGCTCCCTCCCCCGCACCGCAGCCCCTTCGGCGGGGAGGCCGGGCGGCGGCGGCCCGCGGGCGGGCGGGCGGCGCGGGGTTCGGCGCAGCGGGGCTCGGGACCCGGAAGCAGAAGCGGGGCCGGGAGGCGGCTGGATGGGAAGGAGCGGCGACGGGCAGCGATGGGGGAGCAGCAGAGCTCGCTGAGCGCCCCGCGGGCGGCCGCCGCGCCGCCGAGCCCGGCCGGGGGCCCGCGGGAGCCCGGCCCGGACGAGCCGCCTTCGCCGCGAGAGGCGGTCCCGGGCGGCGGGGCGGCCGGGCCGGGGCGAGGCGGGGAGCTGCCGCCGGCCGCCGCCAGCCCCGAGCGGCGAGGGGCCGAAGAGGAGGCGGAGGCGGCGGCCGGGCCGGAGCAGCCGCCGGGCTCGGGGGAGCCGGCGGCCCCGGCGGAGGAGGGGCCGGAGGGAGGCAGCGGCCGCCGCCGCCCCCCCCGGCGGCACGTGTACTGCACCGTCTACTGCGTGGAGAACGACCGGCCGGCGGCGGCCCCCGGCTCCCCCCACGGCGGCCCGGGCGCGGGGCAGCCCCCGGCGCGGCGCGGGGTGGTGTCGGGCGACGACCCGCTGTCGTCCGGCGGCAGCATCGAGGTGGTGGACTTGTACCTGCTGCCCGAGCCCTTCTCCGGGCTGATCGCGGGCGAGTTCGGGCCGCTGCTGGTGCTGAGCTGCCGCGTGTGCCTGGAGGAGAAGCCCATCAAGCCCCTGTCCTGCTGCAAGAAGGCGGTGTGCGAGGAGTGCCTCCGGCGGTACCTCAGCTCCCAGGTACTTCCCAGCGGGCGCCGCCGGGGTGCGCCGGGGGGGCTGTGGCACTGAGCCGGGCTGTGTCGTGGGGTGCAGATCGGGACGGAGCCTTCCCCGTCCCGTACGGAGCGCGTTCCGCCGCCACCTGCGTGCGAGCTGCGGATGCAGCGACCGCCCGTCCCCGGAGCGCTGCTTTGCGCGTTCGTGCGCAGCTGGTCGGGCTGGTCACTAAGGCATTTTCAGGCTCTTCCCGTCTTTGCAAGGATTTTCGCTTTGAAATCTCAAGCTCTTGCTGTTACCTGACCGGCGGCGCCAGCTTTCTTTTAAGAGGAGGCCAAGGAGTGATGAGGAGCGGAGTTCGGGAGCATTGGCAGCCGTCTCCGAAGCGGCTCCTGGAGCCGGGGGTTTTGCGCGGTGTCGCTTGGGCTGGCTGATGTTCGGGCCCTTGGTGCAGCCGCTCGGCCTGCGCATCGCAGGACACATCGCGTTTGGTGTTATGCCAGTTATGCAAGATTAAAATAGCGTGTGTGTGACTGTTGGCGAACAATTGCAGTTAACAACAGTAAACAATAACTTCTTTGGAGGAAAAAATTTGAAAACACAACTTTTCCATCCTGGGTAGACAACTGCTTATCCTGGGCAGATACCTGGTATATAGGGTACTTACATGTTCATCACTATTTTGTCAGTCAGAACTGCTTTTTCAAAATAAAATCAGCAGCTTGATAACTAAGCTGTCTTCGCTAATGTTTGCAGTACTTAGTTTAGCACCACAGAATATTTGTATGTTTCTGCTCTTAGTGTATTCATACCCTAAACGTGAAGAACAGTGGGAGAAGTATGGTGTATGTGGGGAAAAGAAAACCAACTAAACTCTTTGCCTATCATCTTTATGCTCTTATTCAGTAGAAGCTTTTAGGATGTGCTTGGTGGAGATGTGCTAGTTTGGTGGTGGAATGAATTTTTACACCTTCTGGGGCAGTTTGTGCTCCTGCTGGGCTGTGCGTGTAGGGAAGGAATAGATGATTACAGGTACCCCTGTACTCTATAAATAGTTGACAGGCCTCTTCTGACCAGAGTACATTTCACTGCTTGGAAATTGCACGTGTTACCAGAAGTCAAGTATTTTCTCCTTTCCGGGCGCTGATAGCCTATTTGCTGGTTCTGGTAGCATTCGTTCTGGCAAATAGTAAACTCAGTAGCATTTTTATGATTTTAACTTGGGAACTGTTGGATTGGATGGTCAGGGTTACATTTTGTGTGTTTCCTGTAACACTGAAACTCAGGAACACTTAATAAGCCTTCTTGAGACTTCATGCACAGAGACCAGAATGATTAGATTTGTAGGTAAGTGGTAGACTGGAAATTCTCACTGAGTTTTTAGATTGTATTGCCAGTGCACATTTGTGCCACTTTAGGGTCATATGTCAGAGTATTGACTTTCATTTAAGTTGGAAATTGACAAGTGTTGGGATGTCAGGGTGATCTTCCCCGAGTTCTGCAGGTGCCTGTGTTGTAATGGAAGTTACATGATCTGGTATCTAAAGCCATACTGAAGAACTCTTCTGCCTGGTTTAGGCTGGACTCTTGGGAGAAGGAAGCAGTAGGTAGGTGGCCGAAATAGCTGGCTGGCCTAGGAAGCAGCTATATGTGCAATGAAGTGAGTTTAGCATTGGCCAGGGGTTGAACGTGTATGCAGGGATGTCCTTTAAGGAACCCACTACTATTGCTAAGCACGTGTAAAGCTGATGCCAGCTGCTGTTGAAAGGTGCCCATATGGCACATAGCCATATGGGTACTTACTGTACGTTAAAGGTGGGGCAGGGATACTGATCTTGCAGAGTGAGATTCCCAGAGCACTTCTGTGGACATGATGTTACAGACGCTTTTATGACCAGGCAGAATTTTCATTGCTTGATAAATTTGTTAAAGGCAAATGAAACAAAATACAACAAATAACAGTCCAATATGTTCTTCCCTTATCTTCCTCTTTGCAAAGGACAAGAAAGTGATATTTCTTCTTCAAGAAGAACAAGAAGTGATCTATTTTTCCTTTGTGCTGTGGAAGGACCCTGTGAGTCATCCTGGGGAGAGAGAAAGGCGTCTCCATGTCAGTTATATTAGAAGAATTTCTGGAAAGGATGAGTGAAAAGCCAGGATAGGTTAGAAATCGTTTCCTTTCATCTTTGACACTTTGCATTTTTTGTAGGAAATTAAAAAGGAAATTTATGAGAAGCTGAAAAGGAATAAATGCTGAAAAGCTGATTTTGTTTGAAAATTTCAGAAAATCTTACTTTTGAATATGATTAGCCTGACATAAGGATACACCTGAAATTGAAAACAAACAAAAGACAATTGAAAAACAAAACCCCAAGCAGCATTGTGCACAGTTTAGATCTGGTTTTCTTGTCAGAGAAATAGTAATCTCTATCCTGGCTGACTCTACATCTCTGGAGGAGTGGTCTCTCATGCTGAAAATGTGGAATATGTTGGCAGAAGTATAGTGTTTAAAATAATTTGTGTTGCCTTTGATGTCTGTGTGTGTTCTCTCACTGCAGAAAGCTGTATTCTTCCTGACGGCTTCAGTGTGATTCCTGAAATGATGTTTAATGGAGTAGCAAAGTAAAAACTCTGTTAATGCACCCTGCTTTCTTCTATGCAAATATATAAGAGCACCAGAACTTTTGCCTTTGAGCCCTTTACAGATTAGAAAATCAATTGAAGTTTTAGGCATTTTTAAAAGGAATGCCAGATAAAAATACCCCAACTGCAGCGTTTTTGCTCTTTTTACTCATCATTTTACCAGCATGCTGGAAAATGGGGGTAATATCTGAAGGTCTTTAGAGGTCAAGTCCAGTCTGTCTTATCACTGGCACCTTGCTGCATAATCCCTTTCAAAGATTCAGTGACTGGAGCAGAAGCTTAGCAGGCGAGCCTGAAATGCCCAGGCTGATCTGGAGCCTGACTCTGGGAAATTGCGTAACTTTACTTCTGCCTCAATTTAGCTATTCTGTCTCACATCCTGATAGTCACTGAGCACTCGGGGCTCTTCAGGCTCTGACTATGACCAGTTGATCTACAATTCACAAAAAAATTCTGTGATTTTTAGTTTGGACTCAAAGAAATTGATGATATGGTAATTGATAGGTATGGGTGATGGGTTATTGTGGAAAAGGTTGTGGCTTTTGCAGCTCAAGATGTGATGTGGTGGCTTTCACAGCTCAGGATCTGGTATGGATCCCACAGAGCCTGAGTCAGGTACCAGCAAGCCCTGTCTCCAGGAATTGATGCAGCCCAGAGCTGTTGTTTGTTGTGCTTAATGGGTGAGGTTGAAGAGTGTGGTTGTCTGAAAGGCCAGTGTTCTTCCTTCATGGACTCTCGGGTATGTGTTGAGTGAGATTGGGATCAAAAGTGTGGAAGAACCATTTCCCATTCAGCTGGGAGCTTGTGGGTTTCTGTATTCTGTCATCAAGCATACAAACTTGGGCCAGGGAAGCAAGAACCAGGACACTTAATCTCACAGGTGTAATATTACATCCATGTCTCCTATACCTCCTTCACTTCCCATCTTTCTCTCCATTAAACATGGCACCAAACTCAGGTTTGCTAAAAAAAGTGATTCACTTCCTAACCACTCTGCTTGTATTTTTACGTCAGAGGGAGCATTTCACTTTTCCTGTAAAATGACTGCAAAAGTTTTATAGAAACCTCAGCACCTTCTTTTTCTACATGCAAATAGGGAAACTTGATAATCCAGTTTTGATCCTGTGCTCATTAGTGATGCTTTATTTTGTAAATCTTCTAACTCTGTTGGAGTAGTCATTCTTATAGTAAAAGACTTTTAATGAGTTAAACACCATACTGTATTCTTCATCAGATTTTATGGTGCTTTAATTATAGGAACTCTAATGAGATTAGTAGCCATGAGTAAATCAGAAGGGATAGTTGGGGGTGGGGAGGAATTGCATCTGACAGCGTTTTGTGCATGGTTAGCTTTGGTGGGACGAGAATACTGCTTCTGGGCATGGAATGTGGACATGATCCTCCCTCTGCTCAGGACTTCAGTCTTTCTTTCTGTGACCGGAGATCTTGTTTTTGACCCCTTTCTTTTCTGTGCATGATTTCTTTCTGAAAGAGCTGGAGAAAAAAAAGCTGCTGACTGTTACAGTCCGGATTTTTGTGGGGAATGTGATTATAAAGCTGCATAGTGAAGAGGAAAATTTAGGAGCAGTCTGCATCACATAAAACTAGTACTGGCTTGGAGCTGGAGGGCCTTGACACCTGTGTCTCGTCAGGTGTCTGATGGTATCATATAAATGATACATCTTCAAAGCTGTAGTCTGCTGATGAAAACCAGCCAGCAGAAATGTAGGCACCAAGTGCTGAATCATCTGATGGTTAATGAACTGCTTGTGCCCTGAGTCAAACCAGAGCTCAGAAAGGCCACTGTCATTCAGTGCAGAAGCAGCTCTGCATTTGCAAGGGTAATAATTCTAAAACCTTGCTGTAACACTAGCTACTGAGTTGCTGGGACGGCTGCGAACTGCCTACCAGGAGGTGATGGCAGGGTGAGCGACCACCCCTCCAGCTGACATTGCAAGAATGCAGAGATTTCTAAAGGAGGAAGTGAGGTGCAGAAGGAGAAAAGAACCTGCTGGTTTACAGGCTTTTTAAACCAAATCAGCAGCCTCAGCCACTGTAAGCTGGCTGTGTTCCCGAGAGGGCGGAGGAGAAGGCAGGTGGACTTGGTCCATCAGATGCAAGCAGCCTATAAGCTGCAGGAGCACCTAAACTACTTCTCTGTCATTTTCAGCAAGTAGCTTCTGAAAGTCTTTCATGTTCTCCTTATGTGTTGTATGCAGTACCAATGTCAAAATGCTGCTCCGTAGGCAGATGCCACAGTTCACGATGGTACCCAAGTGCCTCTTAAATTGTAAGAGTTTGTCTTTCAAGTTGACAAGCTACATGGCAGATTTTTTAGTCCATCTTGAATGCTTCTTGGTGAATCCAGCTTGTGCCAG